TCAGGAGGAAAAGATGACAAACAGAACAACAAAAACGGCAACGACGAAGCCTGTTTCAAGACCAAGTTGAAGCAAGAGGATCCCTTATTAGACAAAGGTATCTGAGTACCTCACATGAAAGGCTTGAACAAATTAGACTTCACGCTAAGAAACGAAGGAGTAAATGAACTCATTAATTAAACGGTTCATTCTGATCGGGAACTAATTTTATCTATATGCAGAGAAATATCTTATTTGTATAGATTATTAAAACGACTAAGGTTATTTATTCACTCATAAATTTACTAACTTACGATTTACCTAATATCACTATAAATGGGACAGGAAATATACAAGTAAATACAAATTGATAATTATTATATGGTTTGATATATCTGCGTGTATCTTAGTGTGTCTGAGTGTGTCTAAAGATGAAAGGAAAATAAATATTTTGCTTATACCTGGGATAGAATTTTTGCATGGCAATATCTCAAGGTGCCATAAAGTTAGTTTTTGGTTACAAAAGCTTAGGCTTCTCGTGTTATACTTGTCATTAAATCTAATATTTGTGTAGAACAGCGATAAATTACTGATATTATGAGTGCATTCATTTTTCTATTATTGAAAAAACTGGGATTATTTTGTAGAGTAGGGAGTGACTTATTGTTTTCTAAGGTGTGGCTGTAGTTTAGAAAGAAGTTATGGGGATATCGGAATCCGAAAACACACTGAAGCAGTACAAAATGCCTTCCAAAAGCTAAGCAATTTACTAAGAAACAAGATTTTAAAAAAAAATTCGTTGTTGACAAAGAAGAGTGCTAAACTAATATGCTAAATAAATCCTCCTATAGGGAAGGGAGTACTTGACAAGTTCCTCACAGATGAAGAGAAAACATATACGTTTCGGCAGCCTTGACTCTTTAGAAATGGTTTTATGTAAAAGATATCTGAGTGGTTACCCATTGCCTTTTCCATGTTTTGGAAACCGCTGTTTTCCTACTCAGAGACTGGCTGTTATCCACCCTACTGTTTAATCCATAGCTAGATGGGAGAAGGGCATTAGTGTCACAGTAAACGCAACAGCCTGGGCAATAATTTCATTTTCCTCACTGGTAATCGATAAACGACCACGTGAAGTTTGGCGTAAATTATGGATATATTTTCTCGTAATATTTTCTCGCAATATCTACGCAGAATATGAATACGATATGGATTCCGTGTGTATTTATAGATGTAAGAATAGGAAAAAATGCAAGTATGATACAAATATGTTTCTGGTTTTATGAGTTATTACACATGCAAACAAATTGTTTTACCACGAACGGAGATATATCTTCTGGTAATATAATTGCATCCAGGCATGTCTGTAGGTACAATACAGGTTGTTTCCAAAGTCTATGTCACGTTCTAAGAACTATTATATGAAGAACCACGAATGGTAGCATGATTGAATGGTACCATTTAAAAGATAAAAGTGTCAAGTTTTTGGGGTTTTTTTTCTGTTAATTTGATTTTAATATAATTCATTAAATTTAATTTTTAAACACTACTATGCCTGTCTGATGGGTCGGACGTTCTAGACATACTGATCGCGTGTTCCTGCGATGGTCACCTAAGTTTCCAGGCCTCCCACTATGTTCCTCTGGGGGTATGTGAAAGGTCTCGTGTACGTACCTCCCTTTCCCACCTAGAGACGTGCATCATCTGAGGACGCGAAAGACTGAAGCCTTGGAAACCATCAACAACGTTGGTCACGTTATTTTTTATTTTATTTTTTTTTTAAGCATTTCACCCCTAGCAAAGCGGGAAGCCACTAGCACGCAAGGGGTTATAGAGGATTTGTAGCGAGAGCAGATAGGAATGATAGAGGAGAGGATGAGGAGAAGGATAGTGGATAGATCAAGGCAACTGGAGATTTCGATTGACATTACATTTGAAAAGTTGGAGATTATAGCGATCAGAGAAACTGGAATAGGGAAGGGAGTTCCACGGGCGAGAGGTCCGAATTATGAAGCTATTGGAGTAGAAGAGGCGGCTACATTTAACAGTTTCAACAGTGAAAGGGTAAGAGCGGGATGCCAGCATCGTAGGACGCTTGAATTCGCGAAGTCTTGGAACCAGCGAAAACAGCTCATCGGAGCAATTACCATGAAAGTATTTGTAAAAAAAGACAGAGAGAGGCGACGGCACATCTGTGAGAGAGCGACTGCAGACGACATGCCAGATCAAGGCCAATTATATTGCATATCCGTCTCTGGATCTTATCAAGAACCTCGAGGCAAACAGAAGGGGCTCCAGACCATATATGGCAGCAATACTCCATGCAAGGGCGAATGGTTGATTTGTAGATTTGAAGGATCGATTCCGGGGAGAAAAATTTCCTGGCGCGGCACAAGGAGCCAACTTTCCTTGCGGTGGACGAAGCAATTGACTCAATGTATTTGTTCCATCTCAGGTCAGTAGAAAAGGTGAGACCGATCAGCTGCAGAGAGGTGCTCTCGGGAAGTTGAGCGTCAGACATTCTAATGGGGGTGGGGGCAGGATGTCTGTGGTGATTAATAGAGAGCAGTTTTGTTTTTGAGGCGTTAAAGTTAACCAGCCAATTCCTGCCTCAGTTCACAACCGATTGGATGTTCTTTTCGAGACGAACGGCCAGGTTAGTTTTGTCAGCGACACGAGATTTGTTTTTGAGGCAGGAGTAAATTGTAGTGTCGTCAGCGTTTTGGCAAGAATTGGATTATCGCTTACATGTGGGTCGTGGAACCAGCGGCGTACACATTGAACAGTTGTAAAATCTTGTATAGAAACGTGGAAATATAAATTTTGTTTTGATATCCTCAACAATATTAAGATATACAATGTCTTAATGTGACACAGACTTTTGAAACATCCAGTATATTAACGTCTACCTAAAAAGAGGCATAGATTTATTATCTCATATGTATGTATGTATGTATGTGCCCATGATGAGTGATTATGGTTAGAACGTCTCTTTTCAACCCTGAGAACGGGGTTTAAATCTTACTATAGGTAATTTCTCCGGAAAGTGACTTCTTGATGTTAACAGTCTGGAGAGTACCTGAAAACTATACCACGGATTGTGAGTGAAACTGGATAGACGGAACTCCTTGGGAGCCGTTGATGGTTGTGCTAACCCAAAGTCACGAGTCATCGTGACCGAGGGATTGAATTACTGGCCTTGTTCGGAATGTTGATCATGGGAGATAACGCGCTCGCTCCCAGTTATTTGTCTTTGTTGAACAAACACAAATATGGCTGAGCAGACGTCTGCAACAGGGATTGTCTAGCCACCCTATTAGACGGATACGAGTGACCAGCGTTTATGTGCGTGCTTGTGTGTTTCTGTTGCTACAAGAAAGGAAACTGTAAATTTTAAATTTATATAATTTGAAGTTTGAAGTTTATACTTCTGGTTTTATGAGTGTATCGATACCTGGCTATACGTCAAATAAAATAGAGATTTGTGTAGAACTGTTTTAATTTTAGTGTGTCTGCGTCCGTCTATAATGGAGATAAACCAAATTTATGTTGAACACTGCTCGATTTCTTGTTTTACGTGTGTGTCTGTGTGTGCCTAGATGTGCAATAAAAGATTGGTGTCGGGCAGGATTATATATCTGGTTTTATTAGTGTGTCTATAAGGTCAATGAATAAATATATACGGCAACAATGCCTCTAAGACGCAAGGAGGCTACTGGGTGTGAAAGAGAATAAAAACAGAAAACAAAGGATAAACATCTCCTCTAGACTGGGGAGGAGTGTGAACCGGACGATAGGTGAAACTATCTACTCCTGTTGTGGCTAAAAAATAATTAGTAAATCAAATTTCAGCAGGATTCGAACCAGCATCTCCCTGGCACAATTCAACGCTGCTTGACCATCGACGCACTTCGAGGCCGACAGGTGTAAAGCACGACGTATCTCACGAGTGGAGACGCAAGTTCGAATTCTGCCGGTGAATTCATATTTAATAAGATTTCTGGACTATTCATACCGGTAGAAGAAAATAAATATACTGTTTAAAATAAACGGACCCTCTACTCAAATAGGGGTATCCACTTAAAATAACGTTTAAAGTTATTTCAGATATGACATTTAGCCATCTTGACACCATTTTTTCGTAAGAATCACTGGAAAGCCCTTTGAGTTATTCAGCTAAAAAGAGAGCAGGTTAAAATTGTTTTGTGACAGACCTACTGTCTTCCCAAATGAGCAACGGTGAGAGGAAAATGATCATTCAGTAATGGTACCAACATTCATACTCTGGCCTCTACCTTCAAATCTATCAAAGAACCATCAAGAGAACGGTGAATAAGTTTAAAAAAAGAGGGATCAATACAGAGGAAAACTAGATCAAGATGTCACAACAGAAAGAGGGATCATCATTTCAACTTAGAGCTAAAGAGATCAATTAGGAAGGATCCAACTCAATCCATAAGACGTTTGGCACGTGAGAGAGGGATTTCACCCATGACAGCCCAAAGAACAGTGAAAAAGACATGAAAATGAAATCGTACATGTACCGTGTGAGGCAACTTGTTATTCCAAGACAAAAAAATAGGTTAGACAGGGCGAATATCATATTGAATAAGTTGGAAAATGACCTTGGAATAATATATATATATATATATAATTTCAAAACTTCATGAGCTTCCGATCCATAGCTATGATTAATTAATGATGAATATGACATTTTTGTGTATGATTGATTTCATCACGATTGTTGTTAAACTTGGAGAGTAATTATACATTTTTATTGCTCAAATTAGACTCCAATAGTCTTATAAAAACCGCAGAGAATTTCAGTAAGATATATTTAATAATTTCTATGATACAACGATTCAGAGCTTAATTTAACAATTGGATAATTTTGCTGTTACATTTTGGATTAGGATAATTTTGCTTTTACATTTTTACATGTTTCATTTTAAATTTGAGGTAGAGTTGTTCCACTATAGGCCCAAATCAGGGAGCCTGATGAGCAGATTGTTAACATAAAGCTAAATAAGGAGATGAGCAACAAGGAGCCTTGTGGAAGGCCTGCGCAGATCACATAAACTTGAGAAACATAGCCATCGACTATCGACTCTTTATGTGTATTTCTGTGTGTGTACGCCTCTGTGGATGTGCGTGTGCATGCGCGCGCGCCTCTGTATGTGTTGAAACGAAATATACAGACCATATACCACTTACCTAAACTACTGGACTCCAGATTAAAACTTGTTCCCATCTCTCCCCCCAGCCGTGGCACAGGATAATAACTAGACCCAAAAGTCTCTGTAGATTTAGCAAGATCATACTGTCCATGTCTCGACTCGATGCGACTCCCCATCGAAGCCGGCGACTGCATCATAAATGGTCCATAATGCGGACTATATCGGCTGGCGGCGGAATCCATTGACGAGTAAGAAAAAGAGTGCGCTGGCTGAGGCGCGTATGTATGTGGCTGTGAGGCTAACGAATATGGCCATGTTTTGTGGAAGCCGGACATGGCGTATAATGGTGTGTTCAAATAGGCGTCAGTGGCGAAGTGAAAACTGTGAGGTGTGCTTGTGCTTGGACTTTGATAAGCGCTGTCCCAAAAGGATGCCGGGAACTTCCGGTGGCACATCAATGGAACATCTGATAAGAAAAAGGAAAGAAAAAAAAATACGTAAATTTGAAAAGGAACATTTTCATTTCGGTCAATAAAATCCTTATATATTTGAAACATTTCCCACAAAGTTCAAAACAGGAATAACTTGTTCCTACAACAGAAAAACACACAAATATTCAAAAGGCAAAAAAAAAAAAAAAAATAAACAGAATAGACATTACACTTAAATTACACACCAGACCAAAGAAGCCGGCTGCAACAGATGGTTGATCTGAATTCACTCCCGGTCACCGAATGCGAAGTTAACTAAACTCACGATTGCACCCGGTCAACAGAAAGAAAGATTTATGAAATATGACGTTATATAAACAACCACTTAGTCTCTGGGCAGCCTCTCACATGTCACAACCAGATGATGTAATGTCCACGTATCGGACCTTGTTTGAAACCCATACTGACGAAACACTGTAATGAATTAAATACTAAATGATGAAGATTCAAGTCATGTGTTGCCATTTAATTGGCAAAGCCAGTTTATTACTAAATAACCTTGTCAGTCAATTTTAACGAAATATGTTTAAAAGTATGATTGCTGCCCAAATACACAACACCTAAATTACATAACCCGACAGTCAACAAGGAAAATAACAACATAGTTTACATAATAAATGCGAATGTCAGTGAATCAGTGTGTCACACCTTTTCAACTTTACTCCTAGAAGCCCAACGTATACCATTTTGGAATCAGGCCGATTCCTTGAGCAAAATTAAAAACATTCCAGCCCGTATCCGGAACCGCAATCCTGAAATTTTTGTTTCCCAAGTTTTCATTACTGCGATTGTTTTCGGATTCTGCTATCTTGCTTTCTACTGATAAAAACAATTAAAGGGACACAACTCTCTAACTTACAATAGCTCATGTTCAAATGGAAAAAAAAATACTGTTCTCAAATTAGAGTGTTTTAAAATAAAATTGTTCACCTTTCATCTTTACAACAAGAGGCCGTAGACCATTTCAGGCCGACTTCGTGAACAAATTAAAATTATTCTGGGCCGAATCGCGACCCGCAATTCTGAAATTTTGGATTCCCAAGTTTTCATTATTGCGATTGTTTTCGGCGATTTTTTTACGTGATTTTTTGCGACGAATTTTTTTTAATACAATAACAATTTTTATAACTTGGAAATGCATTTGGGAATAATCGAAATTAATTGCGAAATCCAGCGAAAGTCACCAATGAAATAAAAATATTTTTTCTACGGAAAGTAAGGACCTACGCACATCAAATTGTCTTTAAATTAAGTGGCGGCAGAATAATTATCGTTGAACCATTAAAAGGTAAGCTTAAATATTTATGCAATACTTAAATGCAGTGAGCATTTTTGAGTTCTTTAATTTGTTGTTGCCTATCGCATCTACTTCTCCATATCTATTGCGATGAAGGCTCAATCAAGTGCCATCCGCAAGGGCCAGATTAAATGCCACCCGATAGGACGGATTTTAGACTAGTATTCAATAAAATTTTAATTTTGAATTAAATACCAGCAGCCAAAATTTACATAAACACTAAAACAAAGAAGAAAAGAAATACAGTAGGACCTCGGCTTACGAACGGTGTCCCTAGCGACGAACACGCAACCCGGCAACAACGTGGGGCGACAAGCCGGGTGTAACAGAAAGAGTCGAATGGTGCTAAGGGACTGAAAAAGAGAAAGAAGAAACCTCAGGTACCCTGTCTTTTGAACGGGAGTAGACTGCTTGTTTTCTGTTTAGTATTGGGTTTTCGGTTCCTTCTAAAGTCTGCGTCAGCTCCATACTCATAAAGCTTGTTTTTTCTTACGCTACGCTAATACAAGTCCACACAGTAATCCTCTACCTTGAGTGGCTCCTGGACCTTGAATTGAGGGAAATTCGTAATACATTTTTTAAAAAAAGACATTTACCTGATGTTTTTTCTGAAAGGGAAGTTACTTTCAAACAATAATATCTTTCCTCTTTTCTCACCACTCCATAGAAGGTACGTAACTTCCTCACTACTTTCAACTCGTTTCCGTATAGGTACGTTTAAATTAACATAAGCTTTCCGCTATTTTTTAGATGGTTATTACTGTATTTATCTTTTACTTTTGTGTGATTTAATGATTTTCATTGGTTTTGTGTATGAACTTGTGCACAAAATACTGTTGTATAATTTAAATAAGCAATCATCTGGGGTCCAGAAACGGATTAATCCATTGTACATTAATTCATATGGGGGAAATAGTTTCTGTTTACGAACATTTCTGGTTACGAACGACTTTCAGGAACCAAATACATTCGTGAACAACTTTCAAACCTTTACTGACCTTTTTAATTATATTAATTCTATCAACGCTCTATCTCTGATATCGAGCAATTTATTGCAAAGACTAGTTGGCATAAATGTCTTTTCTCTCAGTGTCACGCAAACTGGCAGCATTTTGGGCCTCATACTGTCTTCGAAATCGCTATCATTATAGAAATACCTCGAAGGAAGAGCCGAAAACGCTTTGATATATAGAAAATTTGAACAGTTATTACACACTTTAAGTTCAGAAAAGAAAACATTAATACGAACTCAAGAAAAAATGAATAAAAAGCTTAATCACAGTACATTGTCTGTCGTCTTTAATATATATATACACATATCTACTGGCCTTAATATTAGAGAAATTTTGTTAGAAAAATATGCTACCTACAGCAGGATTCGAACTTGCATCACTTATGAGAAATGGTCCTTAGATAGCGATTTTCCAATCGTAGCTTAGATGTGGCACAAGGCCGAGATTTGTGGGGACCCAGTGAGGATCGAACTCACTACTCAGTCGTAATTGTTCTAGAGAGCCAAGCTTGCTAACCATTACACCGCCTCGAGGTGCCCAATGGTCCTTAGATCTGACCTGCCTTAAACTGAGTCGACCACCTAGTACCGCCTGAATACTGCTTTTGAACACACATCTTCCCGATTCTTGAAATATGCATATCTGGTCTGTTTTGTATCCTAACGTCAACAAAGACAATTTTTTTCGGAAAAAGTTTAAACTATTTTTCTAACAAGATTTCTTGAATATTCAGGCTCGTAAATCTAAATTAATAAAGAAATATACTGCTTATATATATATATATATATATATATATATATATATATATATATATATATATATATATATATATAATCATAAAGAAACAATTTATACAAAGATTTAAATAGAAACCTTAATGTGATTAATGGCGAAATCACTTCGCTAACAAGACTTAATGAGACATTAAAAAAAAACATCTTTCAGTCTACACGTATTTCGTCTTAGTGTTTGCCTTTCTATGGGAAAATTGCGTCCTGAAGATGACAATATGAAATTGGTACTTGGCATGTGTCTTCCATCTGACAATAGCTGCAATATAAAGATATTATTATTCAAGGAACTGATAGTAAGCTAATGTCTCATTTAGTCTTGCTAGCGAAGCGATTTCGCCATTAATCAACATTAACATTGCTATTTAATTTTTTTTCTTTATGATATAAAATATAAGCTTCACACTATATATATATATTTATTAAAGACATTTTTATGTTTAACGTTCTTTTTTATAGATACGAGTATTTAAGTAAATGCTCTGTTTATAATAAACAGTATTAAATAACATTTACCGGCCTGAACGTCCGAGAAATTTTCATAGAAAATATTCGTCCTTTGACAGGATTCGAACCTGCATCCTACACGGAACCGTCATTTACGCTGACGTGCCTTACCGTCTCGGCCACAAAGGAGCGTTCGGTAGGCAAGGTCGAATTTACTGCTTATAAACTTCAATCTTCCATGAATCTCGTATATATATATATATAAACATGTTTTTATTGCTAAAACCAGGATAAAATATATATATAAACATGTTTTTATTGCTAAAACCAGGATAAAATAGTCTTAAGGACATTTTATTGTTAAAATAGATACGTATCACGTTTAAGATTTAAGATTTTAGGCGCCTTTCGGCCGGCACTTCTTCAGAAACAAAATCGTCGGCATTTTAAAACGAAACAGTTGATAAGAAAAAAATTTACCAACAACCGATACTAAGACATTAATTAACAAGTTGAAATAGGCGATTGGGGTGGGAGGATTTATTAATTTTCTTTCTAGTCTTCCCGAATAGGGCCAACTTATATTTCAACTCCCGTTGTCTACACAGAGCAGGACGTGGCATGTTAATAGTGATAGACTCCAGGATGTTTAAATGGAGTCTCGTCCTTACCCTGTGCAAGATAGAAAAGAAATCAGGAGAATAATTCGTCCTGCAAGCCACAGAATTTAAAAGGTGCTTACCGATCACGGAGTCATGAGTCTGTAAACGCACGGATGACACGGGCTGGTGTCTACGCACCTGACCCGGGACATGCTGGGCGATCCTAACCTCGAACCTCTAGATGGTCTTGCCCACATTGTTGATCTCACATCGACATTTATATTGATATATTAATAAACTTTGTTGATTGGCAAGACATCCTTACGGCAAGAGACAACCTTAGGTGCTGTGGAAAAGCTCTTGGTATTGAAAAAATTACTCCGGATCATAACGCCATTTAAACACTGTTTAATAGAATTAGAAATTTTGTCGACACATGTTTGAGTCCTGGGACCAATCCACGGGATGCCTCACATAAACAGGACACTTAGAAGAACCGTATTTCTTAATCTCAATGAACTTAAAGATCTTTTGCTTGATGGTAGCAACCGGGGTAACCATTCATTAATAACAGCTGTTTAATTTTCTTTAAGTCAGCGTCAAATCTGCACTCAGAACACAACATCAAATCACGATGCGTAAGGGTACTAATGAAATTAATTCTTCTGGATCTGGGAGCAAATGAATCCCAAGTTAAGTAAAGCCCAGAAAAAAGTAGGTTTACAGTAAACACTGGTAAGAATGCCCAAAGTTGTTTTTTTTTTCTATCAGTATATCCAAGAAAGGTAGCTGATTATTCTTTTCTATCTCCAATGTATATTTTAA